TATAAAGTTAGGTTGTATAAAAATACTTGGATATTAAACCATAGATACTCAAAGCCATCAACCACACTACAGACAATATTCACAAGTACAAGGGCACTATATACCTTTACACGGACAGTAGAACGGCCCTTAGTATCCTCACGAATGGCAAGAGGCACATCGGCCTTTCTGCCAATCTTATCTCCAAAGCCAATAACCTCAGCAAGATCAGAAAACTCCACTTCAATTGGATCCCTGGGCATACGGGGCAAGCTGGTAATGAACTAGCGGATAAACTAGCTAGGAAGGCTTGCATCCTGAATAGGGAACCATCCTACAAGAAACTTCCTCATTCATGGTTAAAAAACCAGCTTACCAACTTAGCTCTCAACGAGTGGCAACACGAATGGGAAAATGCAGACACAGGGAGGAAAACTTACGCCTTCATTCCATCTATTACTCACCGTGTCAAGGCCACACACTACACTCCAAATGCCGAGACTACCCAAATTTTGACCGGGCACGGCAACTTTCATGCCTATCTCCACCGCTTCGGTAAAATGGACAACTTTCAACCTCTGCGACTGTGATGAGTCCAGTGAGGCCACAGCGGAACATTTCCTCTACACATGCTCAAAATGGCCACGTTTCTTTATGCAGCGAGAGTGTAGCGAAATGACTTCACGAGCAGTGTTGGCCAATTAGAAACCAGTTTCAGTGTGTTCGCTGTAAAGCGCTTCTCGAGCGCTGCATAAAGAAACGCGAGGAATACGACGACGACAGACTCCCGTTCATAGGCGAATGCCTTATGGAGGGACAGAACTGGCCACCAAACCCAGCGGAAGTATTTAGCAACAAAAAACTGTGGAGAAGGCTAACACAATTTGTGTATAAAACAAAGACTCTAAGCACCAATGGCTTCAGTAGAGAGACCACCAGTTCTACCAATTAACTAGCTACAGCCTAAAGATACGCCTTTCGTGGAACAGGAGGTGAGGAAACGGGTAAAATAATTATGGTAAATGCACGTTATATAACATTCCTGTTAACACCGGCAGTGCTGTGTAATGTATTGTAACACTGTTTTATTTCTGCTAGTATCGGTTGGGCCACCATCTGTAGTCAGGTACATTTTGTTGTACCCCAGCTGCCAATTCTGTTTAATTTTGTTCGGAATGGTGATCCATTTATGCCAATTGGTGTTTATTTTCTATTGGCCTCTCACTCTCCTCAAAAACGCTACAAATGTGTTAATGTACTCTTTATCTTTAAAATTTGGACTGTCTTGTATCAATTACAACTGTTTCCTTCTTAGTTCCTCGTCATCATTGTCATTGGTAACCCTTCGGTTTTTGGGTTGCACCATCCAATTCTGTAAATCAGCTGCTTCCTGCTGTTTTGTAATTATCACAAGTCTTCAATGTTTGTATTCTATCACAACCACGTAAAATATTATGTAAATATATTGTAATCTTCTGGTTTTATTTTAATAAATGTGATACAGGCACCCATGGGGCCTCCCATGCCTTCCTTTCAAACTTTACTATTACCCTTTCTTTTCACACTTTGACCTCTTTCTTTCTCCTTCTTTCCATTTCCAAATAGGGCAAAGTCCGTAACCACGAACGGACAGCTCTCTTATCTCTTTAACTTGGTGTTTAACTTGGATATTAAACCATAGGCGGATAAACCGAGAGCTGCTACAGGGGCATAAGTCCTCCCCCAATAGAGAAAAAGAATTAAAACTTATTTGTTCGAACTTCAAAACGTTGTTTTTAAATATTTATGATGGCCAAGTATGGTTTAGTGAATCTCTGCAGTTCAGTCGTCTTGCACATGTTAATTAAAGTACTGCAATTATTCATATATTTAAAATTGTTGACATAACTCCTCCTCGGGNGCTTTTGAAGATTGATAATTGAAAACATTGGACAAATGTAAGACAGAGGACACATGAACACGCGAATAACGCTCTTGAAAAGCTAATTGACCCCGCACAAAGCGGACGGCCGATAGCTCTGAAAGTTGAGTATGTAATTTACCGTCACGCGCCAAAATTATGAGATGCTACGTACTAGAGGTATTTACAATAATTTCGACCCGGAACTACTAGAAATCGTTCCACACCGAGTGTTGAGACAGTTCCAGTTTCAAGACAAGCACGCTAGTAGCGGGAGCAATGTGACGCTTAACAGTAAAAATGGGATTGATGTGTTTTGAAGTGATTCTCAAAATTCTAACATTGTGGTTTCTAACAAAACTGAAATGTGTCGCTAAAGATGCTATGTTGCAAGTCCGTAGCAATCCATGCTTCTCTGTCACACTATCATTGCAAATGAACCGATCATGTTGGGATGTTAATGGCAGGACAAGTAGTGGTCTCCATGCATACAAATCAGCCTCTGCTAGTTGCCTGCGGATGGTACAGGAAGAGACAAGATTTATATCTGAATGGTAGACAAAATATCTTTGCTTGCATCATGATCAGACAACTATCTCACCCAATGGTCTGTCTGGAGCGTCCAGACCCTGGTCATCATGTATGTGCATCCTGACGTAATCATAACTCCCAACATCAGGACATAGTAAGGTTAAAATGGCCCAAATGACGAAGCATAATGGCCAATTCTGCGAAATGGCCATTATGCTTCCTTCAGCCTTAAATATAGCTGATGGAGCCTTTCTCAACTCCATCAGCTACATGGACCATTTACTAATTATAAAACTAACTTGAAAAAAATGTATAAAGTTAGGTTGTATAAAAATACTTGGATATTAAANACATAACTCCTCCTCGGGTTCTTCTGAATTGCTGTTGTAAACGATATTGTAAATTTTCCTAATAATGATATTGGTATATATTTCAAATAAACACAGCGAATAACATTATATTTATAGGAGTCATCAAATAGTTTCATTGCTTTGTAATAAAATTTTAATCATTGTCTACAATACAATACTTACATTACTGAAATTAAAAATTATAACAAATTCGATACTTTCATGTTTCAGATTTTTAAATTTAATTTTAAAATCTCAAGTTGTTTTTCCCGAGACTCGGAACGAGAAAATTTTTGGAATTTCCGGGTCAGACACCTTAATCCGAATGTCTCGCCCAGGATAGAGCATTCATTAGAATTTGTTAAGAAGATAAACAGGTTATTAAAACAAAAATGCAAAACATCGCTTACGAAATTTTAACGCATTCAATTTATAATCAGCGTTAGCTTATTTTGTATAAGAATATAGCTTTATTTAATTATTATAAATATAACAAAAACACAACCTATATCAATAAACCTCTAAGACGAATTTGATTAAAGAAATACCATCAATATCCATTTATTTTATTTTCATGGAAGAAATCTGGTTTAACAATAAGAAAACCAAATTTTTATGTAGTTTTAAATTTATCAATTATTATTTATAACTTGCAACTATTTGTTAGTAAGCCTGATTACACATTTTTTAAAAAACAAATACATTCACAAAGCGATTTGGGATCTCACAGTAAACTGCTTATAGGTAAATCCTATTTTGAACCATTAAACTACTCGTATCATCTGTTAATTATATAACTATATAACATAAATCTTTAATAAATTTTAAAAAATAAAACCTTTGTGAATTTGTAATGTAAACTACCATTTCTTTTACTAAATAATATATTTGTCTAATTTCTGTATTCGTTTTTATACGTTCTCTTATAGGCCTATTATATATTTACATCCTCAAATGACACGTTTCGTGATCTTGCGCGTCACGATGTTATTATTCGTTCTTCAAATCCTACATGTCATAAATTAATCATTAATAATTACGATTAGTAGTAGTATCCGCATGTTTCATAACCTTCTAATTGCCACTTCATGCCTATCTTCATTAGTAGATGATGTCTTTGACATAATTTTTAATCCTTTTTTTATTTCCTAATTAAATTGGCCCTAACCCATATAAGCACGAGTTTGACACTAATAATACCATCCAATTAAAATATTATTACAAATTACAATTAAATCTTCGCAAAATGTTTCGTAAAATTTAATCTTCTTATCTAAAGGAGATTTATTTAAATTTACCGATAAGTAAAATTGAAAGATTGATAATCAATGTCATTTATTGATATTTGATACTATTAACAACTTTGTAGCTAGTTTTCTTATCAGCAATATTTTATTGCTTAAAATATATAATTCGTGAAACTTTATTTACACAGGAAATTTATATCATTTACCATTTGTGAACTTTTTGAGACAAACAATTAATTTTGTATATCTTTTGTATAGGCTACCTTAAGTCCTACCTTAAGACTACTTTGCCATTATCAAAATTCTAATAAATTGCCAAAATTATTTTAATTATTCTTGAACTGATTTTTTAAAATCCGTTTTCTAGCATGAATATACTTGTAAATCTTTCTCAGTTAATAAAATAGGGCTTTATTCCGGATATTTAAACAATACTACTTAACCTTATTATTGTTAATTATGTTAGTATTGACCAGTGTATTTATTCTATATTTTGTATATTAAAATTATAATTAAAATAATTAAATGAAAATTCTATTGATCCTTAAATGTTAATTTATATTTTAGCAATCAGTTCTAATGTCAGTCTATAATATTTCATGTTTTAGAAACAAAACTTTACGTTAGTTTGTAACTATTTCTTATCGAAATTATTATTTTATATGACCATTTTCTTATAAAGAACTATATTTATGTAAAAATTTGAACCAATAGGATATATTAGCTATTTGTCTCGAATAAAAAAGGTTTTAAAATTAAAATTTTCAATAAACAGATAAATTCTTATTTTATCGTAAACGTTAGGTTCATTCGACCACAAAAATTAGGTTTAAAATAAAGAATTCTTTGTTTGATTTACTGTTTCAAATCACTAACTCCAAAGATAGATAAATAAATAATTACGGAGGCGAAGATTGAGCAAATCTCGAAATA